AAAACCTTTGGGCGGCAGAGAGCTCACAACTAAGGCGGCAGGAGAAGCTGGCAGGAGAAGCTGGCATGAGAGGTGGGTGGTTTTGGTTACGTGAGATGCTACGGTTGTGTCTCTGAACTCTTTCGGCAATAGCTCAGCACGACTGGGCTGCGCAGGCAGCGTCCGCCGGCACGGGCATGGCACGGCACGGCACGGCATGGCATGGCAGTCCCTGCTGGCAATGCCACCCTCAGTGTCGCTTCAGTCCGCCGTTGGTGTGCTGAGGGGGGAACTTGGGAAGGCACGGCTCGTCTGGAAGAGGGTCGTGAGAAAAAACAGAGTCCTCTCCCGAGGAGCAGGTGGAGCTGCGGGTGTCCGGGAAGCCGGGAGAATACTGATCCAGCGGCATGGAGAGGTCCAGGTACTCCTGGGAGGGATGAACCCCAAGGACGGGCTCAGGAGGGGACCGGGCATCCCTCGGGGAGTGCCCACCCCAGGCAGGGTGGGTGCAGGTGGGGGCTCATGGGTGCTGCCTCTCCTACCTGGTTGGAGGTCATGGCCACAATCCTATCAAGGTCTTCCACCAGCTGCTTGAAGGTGGGTCTCTGGGAGGGGACGGCGTGCCAGCAATCCCGCATCATCATGTACCTGGGGGGGGCAGAGGGGAGGTGAGGGCTGAGCCCAGAGCGAGTGGATGGGGCTGGGGACCACCCCCACCCCGCGCCATGGCAGCGGAGCAGCACCCAGGAACGGCCACCAGCCCTTGGGCTGGGACCAGTGGCCAGCAAAGATGTTATTCTAGGGATTTAGGGCTAATCCCCGGTGTGGAAGGAAGGGAACTCCCCACTCGCCGTCCTGGCTGTGGGTGCTGGGAAGGACGCGGGGCTGTTTCGGGAAGAGGATGTACGGGGAGCTAAAACAAATCCCTGCTCTGGGGTCATCCCGGGATTCGCTCCTGCCGAGAAATAACGAAGGGAGATGTTGATTATTGCAAACAGATTGAGCTGATGTTTTTGCAGGGCTGGGAATTGCTGGGAAAGTAACTCTGAACATCTGCCTGTGCTCACCTGCCTCCACCCCGGCTCGCACCCGGAGGCTCCCAACCCCGCGCTCCCGCTGTGGCCCCGGCTCCAGGGATGCAGGGAGGGGAAGCGGTGTTGGTCCCTGGCCGGGTGGGAGGCATTGGGGTGTCAGTGCCCCTCTCTTCCCCAGCCCAGCACCACACTCACAGCTCGTTGGTGCAGTTGCTGGGCTTGTCCATCCTGTGACCTTCCTTCAGCAGCTTGAAAAGCTCCTCGACCGGCACGCCGGGGTAGGGCGAACCGCCCAGCGTGAAGATCTCCCACAGCAACACGCCAAAGGACCACCTGCCCGGGGCAAACACAGGCCAGATGTTGGGGTACCCCCGGCTCCGTGGAGCTGACACCCCCACTTCAAAGCTTTGGGTACAGTTAAGAAGTTTGTTTGCTGGGAGGGACAAGCACTAACGGCTTCGATTCGCTCTGCAAGACAAACGAGTCCCAACGCCAAATATAATTTGGATTCAAAATATTCTGGCTGCTAATGGTATTTTCATTAAATTAAGACAAATCACATGTGGTGCGCTTCGCCACGTCGCGGATCGTGGTCACCAGAG